CACTGCGTGGATGCGCATTTGGCAATTTCTGCGCGCGTTGGAGATTCCAGCGCTTAGCAACCATCGACAGTTAATGGTGGCACGCGCTATCTTCATGGGCCATGACTTTTTCGAGCGATGCGCCGTGGCATCTGCGAACTGGCGTCTTTTGGTTGTTGTGTTTGTCCGGCTGATCGGGGGCGCCCGCCGCGCCGACGACGCGAGAATGCGATCGCGGCCGTGCATCTTAGTTCGGTGCGTTTTCGACGCGGGCGTCAAGACCAGATTGCTGTTCTTGATGAGGTGAGCACTGCCTACGGCCGTTGCTCGCGCGATCGGTTAGATGATTCCACCTAGGGGGTGTCGATAGTGATATGCAGATGTTGCTCTCGTCTAGTGCGCTGATGCAGCGCTTGGCGACGTCGTTCTCTCCGGCATAAACTCGAGGTGCAGTGCCCGCTGGTCAGCGGGCTAGTGGATGCATCTTTGTCGAAGCACGTTGACATTATGTTCGTGCCCTTGCGTCTGGGCGCCTGCAGGAAGCGCCAGAAGTGGTTGCTGCAGAACAGGCGCTGGCGAATTTAATTCTTCGCGCCGGCGGTTGAAACCAGATCTTAAAACACATATCAGGCAAGCGCCTCCTGGCTTAAACATGATCGGCCCACGATGCCGGAAAGGAATATCGAAATGCAAGACATGGCAACGCTCCAAAGACACTTGATTGGGCGACAGGCAAATGCAATGCTGAGTGCATCGGTCTTGACGCACCCTGCCGGGATCTGCGCTGCGCTGCGCCGCGCTGAATTGCACGGTCACTCTGCGGAGCAAGCGTTTCGCTCGAGACATCCTCAACGCGCGAAAGAGCGGCCCGCGCCCTGTGATTTATCGATCGGGAATTCAATAACAAGCGTTTCGCCTGCGACCTCCTCAAATTTTAACCCGCGGCCCACCTCGACCTCGACGTCTATCCGGGAAAGAGTCCGCCGGCCCACCTCAGTTGAGGCACCAGGGGCAGGTTTACCAACTAAAAGAGAACCCTGGGCCGGCGCCCTTTCCGGGAAAAGGTTGCCGCGGCAGTCGATTTGCCCGCGGCGCGTCTGTCGCCTTGGCCCGTGCTTCGCGCCTGCGCGCGCGTGGTCCGCAGGTCGCGAATGCCTGCGAAGCCGCCGCCAGGGGATGGCGCGCGCTTGCAGAGTTCTGGGGCAGCGTGGCATCCTAGATGGTGGGGCGGCTCATTTTCGCCAGCGTCGTCCAGAGGGG